AATTGCATTACATTTTTTCAGAGACAATAAAATGAAACAAGTTTTAATTTACTGATGACTAAAAATATTATTTGGAAAACGTGGTCGGAGTCCAGGAAGGGGAAAATAGTTTTGACCTAATGTAAAGGTTTGAAATCTGGGTGAAGTTGATAATTTGGTTTATAAATTTTAGTGAAGTTAGGTAAAATTGATTCTTTCAAATCGTTTATAAGTTCTCTGTAAATTTGTGTTATGAATATAAGAATGGAGATGTAGATGTCTCGGAGCGAAGATATTATTTTTGATTATTTGAAATTTGTTAATTTTGGTGTGAAGAGGCATTACAACTAGGGCAGGCATATAAAAGAAGGAGACCTAATTATGGTTTTTATAAGAATATTATTACAATTGATCCGTAATTTGAAGTTCTAATATTATTGACGGGTGATATAACATAATATTATAAACGATATTGTAGTCATTACAAAAACTTCGTAAATTCAGAAGAGATTGAATTTTTTAGCGAAATATCTCACGCATCAAAAAGCAAGAAAAGTGGAAAATAATTTATTTCGAAAGAGACTTGTTTGACGGTACGGGCGGTTTTTGGCCACAGGAGATACAGTAATTTTTGTCATTTGTATTTATAATTCCCCAGTATATAATTTCCACCACAAAGAACGGAAATTCACCGATCACGTTGGAACGCTGCACAGACACAGACATGACGCGAAAGGCTAATCGAGAACGTGAACACTTGCAAGAGAGCAAAAAGTCTTCAAACTCTCTTTGGAATACTATATCCCCAGGAGATACTGATTCCTCATGCGATACCTAGAGCTTTACACTGCTCTCTTGCGAGACTTCGAAAATCTCTTGTGACGTCATGTCTCCGGAGAGAAGATCGCTCTCCTGAGAGTTTACACGCGTCTCCTAACCCGTTCCGGAAAGTTAGGAGAAGGCAAACGGCCAGATACTCGGACCTGACGGAAAAATAGTCGGATGGACGGACGGATGGATGAATGGAGAGATGGACAAAGGACAAATGGAAAGACAGATAGACGGATGAGCATGCAAAAGGACATTTATGAACTAGATACTATAAATCTTTCGTAAGATTTGGATCATCAAAGCAAATGGTAAGAAATAAGCATGTGGTATGGCAGTTCGTATATTTTTGCAATAAATTGTTGCGATATTATTAGTTTACGGACGTCAATGTTATTACCACAAATTTGTGTCGAGGTCTGTGCTATGTTGTGGCCTCTCAAGTATCATACTTTAAGTTTTGAAGAATACTAAATCAGTAGATAGCGGCAATCAAAGATAAAACCAACAAATTGCTTTAGTAATGCTCGAGATTATGTGTTGATGTCTATTTAGATAAGATAGCATTGAACTGATGGAAAGTAAAAGTCTAGAATTTCAATCAAATGATAATGAAGAATTAGAGCTCTGGGGGTGTGATTTAAAACAATCTAACTAGTTCACTTTCCATTTATTACAGAACGTCGCATTCTTGTTTTAAAAGTTTCCGATTAGAAATTTCGACGAATTTCACATGGAGCCTTTAAAAAATTATGTTCACAGCATATTACGTTTTTTAACCCCTCACCTACTCATAATTGGACTTCCTTGAGATGAACATTCCATTGCGATGCTTCTTCCTAAGTCAAATAAATATGGTACTGATATTTCACAATCTTCAGACTGTCATTATGATTTATGTTATATAGATTATTCCGTCCAGATGTATTTAAAACAGTCATATATCCATTGAAAACCAAAAACAAATCAATCAAAAACCATAATTTAGATTGAAATTTTTATTAAAATGTTTTGTTAAACTTTGAAGCATTTTACATCTCTCACATTTTACATGTACATCTTTTTGAGGAGCATTTTTCATCAGAAGTCTAATTTGAATGTAAAGAGAAATTATTAGAAACCAAATAAAATTTTCTAATTTTTAAGATTATAGTAAAAAAATTGAAACTATTGTAATAAACACGTATTATGTACGAATGAACTGACCTTAATAAATTGTCATTTTTTAAGTATATTTTTAGTTCCCGTATACATACGTATATACGGATTAATCTACATAGTATAGGGGAAGTTATGTTGTTATTGATTATTATTATTATTATTATTATTATTATTATTATTATTATTACTATTATTACTATTATTATATTATGTTGAACTTCACTAGTTCACTATTCTGAATACGCTTGTTATTGACATTTTTATTGTTAATAGCTACTTTAACTGGTCGTACATTGAAACCTACTGTTATTCGTTTCGTGTGATATCCACACTTTTGATATTCACTTATTGGTTTTCACTGTTTCTGACACATTTGTCACCTCTTTAGTTATACACTTTCCACTTCGCGGTTATTCTTAGTCTATTTTCTATTTTTCATGAACAGGAAGATGTTCATGTTAAGTATGACCTCCACATCGACTTGCCCTGGTCCAGCTTCATCCACTTTTGCCGACGGCCTCCCTGAAACTGCCCATCCATCGCTTGTGAGTGGCGCCAGCCAGATTTTGGTTCCCATATCGTTGTTGTGTGTGAACATCTTTGGTCGTTGTGTCTTAAAAAATGCCCCCCTCCCCCCCCCCAATTTCCACTTCAGTTTTACAGCTTCTTCTGCTGCATCTTTTATTTTGGTTTTGTCCCTATTTCTACGCATGTTACGAAGTGGTCTTTGAGGTAGCAGCATATATTGAGAATTTTTCTATCTTTCTTAGACATCCTGTTATTTTTACTTTCTCAGATTTCGACGGAAATACACATTCTAAGGTCCCTGAAAGAGTGAATCTTTTCAAAACGTCCGTCCCGTCCGTCCCGTCCGTCCCGTCCGTCCCGTCCGTCCCGTCCGTCCCGTCCGTCCCGTCAAAGGCAGACAGACAGAGACAGAAAGGCGTTTTGTCATCACCTAAGTTTTTCGGTAACAAGGACTCACTAACCTGGATTCTTAGTGTAGAACGTGTTTGCAAAAGTAATTTTCTTCGTATAGAAAGAGGAATTATTAACTATTTCGGTTTCAGGGACAATTCGATTACAATTCATATTTTTCTGCCGCTTTTCGCCGCAACATTACATAACTTTGTCTACACTACATATAAACCAGAACGTAAAATGGGTTATTTCAGTACATATTTGAAATATTGTTTGCGTGATTTATTATTTTTTCTTTCTCGCCATTGCTTCATAAGAAGATAAAGTATTGTAATTACCGGAAAAAGGCGAATTTTCGACTTTTTTTGCCGGGTAACGTAATAGTGGATAAATATGTTTCTATTTATATTATAGTAAATTACTTTCTCTAAAGTGTTGTGTAATCAGAATCCATAGTTTGTGGGTACTTGATATAAATAAAATCGACTGACGTCAAAACGTTCGTCTCTGTGTCTACCACTCTACCTGGTTGACCGTCCGTCTGTCTGTCTGTAGTAAACGCTAGCCATCTAAACCGTTCCGACGATTTTCTCCAAAATTGATATTCCTCGATCAATTTAAGGGACCTCTGAGGCAATTTTAGGGAGTTTGAAACGGATATTTCGATTTTTATGGATACTTTACATAAAACCTCAAACTTTTCAAAATTTTCTTAAAAATCGCTCCAAATTGTTTAATTATATTTTGTCTTCATACAGCGTAAAGGACGCTTAAAAAATTGGTGCATGTCTCATTTTCGTTAAAATCCCTGATTTTCGGAAAATTTTAGAGTTCCAATTTGTTCGGCGTCTTTCTGAAACTACGATATCGAAGAACGTCGATAATAAAATCGTATAATCGTAAAATCGTATAATAACGTCGTATTAAAATCTGTTGTTCAAAGGCAAATCTTGTAATACGATCATTTACGATTTTTCGAAAATATGAGTAATTCTCCCGCAATTTAACGAGAAATTTAGGTGATTTTTAATTTTTAAAACTATTTTTCATCAAAAACTGCTCCATTTTTTCTTTAAATGTTCTCTTCGTATGTATCATAGGTCGGTAAAACGAATTGGTGCTAGTCTTATTTCCAACTCAATTCTTTATTTTCGAAAACGGCAAACAGTTAACACTCCAAAATGACTGAAGATATATATTTTTTCTGTCAACGAAATCAAAAATAAGAACTTTGTAAAAAAAAAAAGATCTTTGAAAGAAGTTGTGTACATTTTTTAGTGAGTAATTTCTCTTTGAAGTTCATGAAAATTATGCAAAACATTTTCTCAAAAAACGCTCCAATTATTTTCTTCAACTTTTCTCCATGCATAGGAAAATGGACACTTAAAATAATAACGCAGGCCTAATTTTAATGAAACTTCTGAATTTTCAAAAATTGCAAAAAGGTATAAATTTTGCGAGAAAGTATATGGTATTGTAATACCACTAGTTTAAGTATCAAAGATCTACAAAACATGAATTCTCAATCTCAACGTATAAGAGGAAGTGTTTTACTATATATTATAAACAAGAATTATCAACGTAGTCGTTACCAAGGCAATTTTAATTAATTTTAATCGCCGTTTTCCTGCTCACTATTATAATTACTTTTTGAATTCACCATTTACAGTGCACGAGAAGACACAGGTTTTTTGTAGTATAACAGTTTTAAATACGTGGAGGCGCAAAAACATTCATTATTTATATTTTAGAAGTATCCCTTGCTCAGTAAGAGGTCATAAAGATATCTCCACAAAATACTATAATTACGAAAGGAATTGTACAATTTATTATTTTTTAGGGATGCCCCTTTTAACGCCCCTTACTTCTAGATTGTTAAATATGAAACAGTTTTTCATAATACTTTTCCAATGTGTTATTGTTTTTATCTTGATAAATTATAATAATTTCATTAATTATAATTTTTATAACGAAACCGACGGCGATAAATATCTGTAATCTTAATATAGCACATGCATGTAATGTTATTGACATTGGGTTTTAATATTTTTAATTGTAGGGCCCATCTTGTATTACAAAATATAGTTATGCTCATATTATTTAGCCATTACCTCCAGGACAATCGTCGTAGACACGACGAGCTTCATCTTGACGACACTCCAGGCCCTGGTCTCCTGGAGGGCACGATGTGGTTATTGGTGGCTCTTCGCCAAACACTGCACGTATTTCCTTGAATGCTCCGGGTCGCGAGAACGCCAAAACGTACTTGGCCAGCGAAGACCCCGCTGGTTCTGGAGTTTCATTAGCTGTCATCTCCTGGCAGTGCAGCAGTAACATTAATAGTGCAGCTGTCAAGAGCATCGACTTCAGCGGCTGCATCATCTGCAACACGAGATAGTTCCGATCGTGAGCTACTAGTTGCAACCTTGATCGCTGCGCTTATGTCGTACAGTTAAGCGGCCCTGAAGGCGAGGCGCGCTGACATTCCAGAAAAAGACGAAACCAGATCACAGTGGGCAGCCTTGCACATAGTGTGCCGAGAGAAAGCATCGGTGGGCGCGTCGTCTGTAACGGCGCATGCATCGCTACAACGCATACACACGATTAAGAGACTCGGCAACAAAGAAGCGACTGAGGACGAGAAAGAAAGTCCGGGCGAAAGCGAAACGCCGCGGGAAAGTTTCGATGTTCTTCATAATGTTTCTCTTAACTCATAATGTTTACGTAACTTCATTAATCTAATTACGTAACTCCATTAATTATAATTACGCTAGGCGTTTAAGCATTACTTACCTTGCAATTATTTTCCTTGTCTATGAGGTTGATACGTATCTACGTACACAAACTATCGGATGAATTCTTCTGGCTTTGAAGCTTTAAAACGTGTCCGATCGAAAAGCACCTATTTTCACACGCAAAGGAGACTCGATTGCTGCTTGTAGACGCTGTGTGCCCCAGCGCCCACCGAGGCAATCTGCCAGGTCGTGAAAGTCCTTGGTTCAGTTGTGGCGCAATACATGTAGTCCGAGCCGAGGAGAACCGTTACTTGATTATCATATCGAAACAAAACTTCTCCGGATCGAACCTGACACCATATATGAATTTTAAGGTCGTTGTGACATTCTGGACCATCATAACAAACGTATATACGCTTACGTGATTTTTTCTCTGTAAAAACAGCGATAAAATTTGTAAAATTGAATTGTAAGATCGAAAATATTGATTTCATCTAATGGTAAGTACTTTATCTACATGAGCGTTAGTTAAGCAGTGAGTTTAAAAAGGCCGCTGTGTGTTTCTTAGTTTGGTCTTTTATTCGCCACTTCAGCGCTAGCAGTGTCAAGAATACAGTTTCTTATCTTGCTGTAGAGCGCGCAAGTGGTGAAATTGACGTTCATTGCGCAATCACGTGCAACGTGGATAGTATGTAAAGTCTGTGCGGTGCAGCACGGGAACTTTTCTCTGTGAACTCGCGCATAGTACCAGTCCTTTTGCAGGGAGTCCGCCATTGTTGTATCATCGTCCGTTGAGTTGGCGAGGAAAATCGCCTAACATCCAAAATGGTAAGCCACTGAAATGTTCTTAAAGGACAAGATTTGATTCTTTCGACGTTATTTTATGCGATGATGTTATTTAAGTGTAATATTTTTGGATAGCTTAGGTATTGCTTGCCGTTGAAAATGCCAGGTCGCGCACGGTATCTCCGAAGGAAATGTCAGGATAATTGTTTTCGTTTTCTGTAAATGCATGCTATAGCAAATGCCTTGCATATGCCCGTTATATTGGCTACAATACAATATGGACAAGAAGAAATACGTGATCTTGGGGTCGTGAAGTTCGAAATCTTACGAGCGTACGGGAAGTATCAGACCCACGCTGTGGGATCATGTTTTCTGTAGTTAGGATGCATTTGCTTCACGATATAAACAGATGGTTATGTAGTATTTCAAGCAAAATTTAACTTACGAAGTTAATTTGTATATTGTCACTGCGAAATGAACTGTACTAAAAATTCTTTTGTTACTGCTCAAAGCTTCGTTTAAGTTTCTCGTATTTCCTTTGCAAGAAGTAATAAAGAAGTTTAGGCGGAGTACGTACTTTATATGTAAGTTATTGTAAGACAGCGTACACGTAGTTGCAATGCGTATCAGGAACATGTGGTCGCAACATATGGTTGCCGACCTTGATCCTGAATTTCGCCGTTACGTGCAGTTGGATTCGCAAGCTAATTGTGGCGTTTGTTTCGTATACTTCGTATAAATCATTAATAATTATCTTTTAATTTTTAGGTGAACTTCACAGTAGATGAGATAAGAGTGATGATGGACAAGAAGCGGAACATCCGCAACATGTCCGTCATTGCTCACGTAGATCATGGAAAGTCAACATTGACAGACTCCCTGGTTTCAAAAGCTGGTATTATTGCCAGTGCTAAAGCTGGAGAGACACGCTTTACTGACACCAGAAAAGATGAACAGGAACGCTGCATTACCATTAAATCCACGTAAGTTTTATCTATTTAAATCGGGGATTTTCAATCTTTTTTTTTCTTCAACTCCCCTACCTTATTCTGTACAAAATACACGACATATAATCACAACAAAAGTATTGGACAAATCTCGTAAAGATAACTATTTTGTAATCTAATTTTAAGTGTCTAATTGGTACTATAATATGGCTGGTACAGTGGAGAAAATAAAAATGAAAAAGATTTGTTTTATTGTTTGCCAATAATTCTATGGGGGTCCATACTAAGGACCCCTTCCTTTGAGAGACTGGTATGGTGCAGAAGTTTCACCAGCCTAGCAATGCTCCTGATCCTATGAACGACAAATACGAAAGGAGTTAACCTGTAAATTATGTATGTTACTTTATATTGGAAAACTATGAAGTTCATAAATATCTTCGTGATCATTGGGATCTTGAGTATCCTTATCAGCTATAAACAGTGACCACCTTTAAAATTTCACTGATTCGGAGGTTCATATCAACCCAATTGGGACCCCTGAAAAATGTGTAGTTTGTATGGCTCCATTGTCTCTCATATCTTAACTGGAACATTTTAATTACAGAGCCATCTCTATGTTCTTTGAACTGGAAGACAAAGACTTGGTATTTATTACCAATCCTGACCAGCGGGATAAAGGAGAAAAGGGATTTTTAATAAATTTGATTGATTCACCTGGACACGTTGATTTCTCTAGTGAAGTTACTGCAGCTCTCCGTGTTACTGATGGTGCCCTTGTGGTTGTAGATTGTGTTTCAGGTATGTTGGTACTATATACTGTGTAGTTTATCTGAATTGAAGGAAATGTATGGCTGATCATCAAAACTTGGTTCTATAGGAGTGTGTGTGCAAACGGAAACTGTGTTGAGACAGGCCATTGCCGAACGGATTAAACCAGTTCTTTTTATGAACAAAATGGATCGAGCCTTATTAGAACTGCAGCTAGAATCTGAGGAATTATATCAGACTTTCCAGCGTATTGTGGAGAACGTAAATGTCATTATTGCTACCTACAGTGATGATTCAGGCCCCATGGGTGAAGTTCGTGTAAGTATCTAATACTGTTATAAACTGATCAATGAATAGATCAGTCTGTCACAATGAATAGATTAATTCAAAACCAATTGATTTATAGGTTGATCCTTGCAAGGGAAGTGTTGGATTTGGATCAGGGCTTCATGGATGGGCTTTCACCCTCAAACAGTTTGCAGAAATGTATGCTGAAAAATTCAAGATCGATGTTGTGAAACTTATGAAAAGGTAATTTGAAATTAGTTGTTTTCAATTTGGTGGTTTGAAATATTTTTGTAATTTGGATTTTTAAATTATATTTATTTGGTAGGTTGTGGGGTGAAAATTTCTTCAATCCCACGACCAAGAAATGGGCCAAGCAGAAAGAAGATGATAACAAGAGATCGTTCTGCATGTATGTTCTGGATCCTATTTACAAAGTTAGTATTGGTTAAAGAAGCGTAACGTACTTGCAGGTTCAAATGATGTTAATTTTACAGACCTGTTCTGATAAATTATGGGGAATTAATACTACTGATAACAAATTACAGTTTCTATAAACATTTATTAGTTGAAATTAGGTGCTGAACTTTATTAAATTTTTAGGTCTTTAATTCCATCATGAGTTACAAGAAGGAAGAAGCCACTTCCCTCCTGAAGAAACTAAATATTGAGTTAAAACCTGAAGATGCTGAGAAAGATGGGAAGGCTCTGTTAAAGGTAAGTTGTAAGAGTTTGGGATTTGTTTTGCCTTGGGTGACAAACTATTCATGAAAATGTTATTGTTCTTAGGTTGTGATGCGTACTTGGCTGCCTGCTGGAGAAGCTTTACTACAGATGATTGCTATTCATTTGCCATCTCCTGTTGTCGCCCAAAAGTATCGTATGGAAATGCTCTATGAAGGACCCCATGATGATGAAGCTGCTATTGCTGTGAAGGTATTTTTTTTAAAAAAATTTATATTTCATTAACATGAATTGTTTTGTGATGAACAACAGACCTGTACTGAATTCTTGATGTTATAATTATCTGATCATGTGAAAACATTAATTAGTAATGTTTTTGTCATGGCATTTTATTAAATGTTTGGGTTTTAATATTTTTTGTAGAATTGTGATCCCAATGGACCATTGATGATGTATGTATCCAAAATGGTGCCGACTTCAGATAAAGGACGCTTCTATGCCTTTGGCCGTGTGTTTTCTGGAAAGGTGTGCTATTTATCGGATATCTTGTCTATATCTTCATCATTATTGAGCATGCACTAAAATAAAAATATTTCAGGTTGCCACTGGCATGAAAGCTCGTATTATGGGACCCAACTATGTGCCTGGGAAGAAGGAAGATCTCTATGAAAAAGCTATCCAGCGTACTATTCTTATGATGGGACGTTATGTTGAAGCTATTGAGGATGTACCAAGTGGTATGTGTTAATGCTATTGGTAGTATGTTTTATTTTAGCATTTGTCTTATAAAGTTGAAATTTTTTAGGTAACATTTGCGGTCTTGTTGGTGTTGACCAGTTCCTGGTAAAGACTGGCACTATCACTACATTCAAAGATGCCCATAACATGCGTGTAATGAAGTTTAGTGTCTCTCCTGTTGTACGTGTTGCTGTTGAACCAAAAAATCCAGCTGATCTCCCAAAACTTGTTGAAGGTAAGATTTGGAGAAAATTAATAAAGGACCTGTTTAATTGAGATAAGATAATAATGTGACAATGTTATCAGGTCTGAAACGCCTTGCAAAATCTGATCCTATGGTGCAGTGCATCATAGAAGAGTCTGGAGAACATATTATTGCTGGTGCTGGAGAACTTCATTTAGAAATCTGTTTGAAGGTAGGTAAAATAGTGGAGAGATGTGAATCTGAATCATAATTATCTTTAACATAATTGTAATTCATTATTAAGCTATGAGGGAGGCTTTTAATGCTTTTTTTTACTTGCAGGATTTGGAGGAAGACCATGCTTGCATTCCAATCAAGAAGTCTGATCCTGTCGTTTCTTACCGTGAGACAGTTTCAGAAGAATCAGATCAGATGTGTTTGTCAAAATCGCCTAACAAACATAACAGGTTGTTCATGAAGGCTGTACCAATGCCTGATGGCCTTCCTGAGGACATCGACAATGTAAGTTGGGTCGTCCTTCATTGTTGTGAATTTGTTGAGGATTTTGACTATTAATGGGAAACATCGATAATGCAGAATATATATGTATATATAGAACATTAAAAGTGGAACTTTTTGTTTAGCTCATACTATTTGAGGAGATTCATTGCTGTGCTTAATGAGTGTTGCAGGGTGGGGAAGGAACAATCCAAAACCCATTTAGGGCAGGGTGAATCTTGTTTTATGGCTCTTTTTGATTAGTTATTTTGTGTTTGAAATTTTTAGGGAGAAGTTAATCCACGTGATGAGTTCAAGGCAAGAGCCCGCTACTTAGGAGAAAAGTATGATTATGATGTGACAGAAGCTCGTAAAATCTGGAGTTTTGGGCCTGATGGTACTGGCCCTAATTTATTAATTGATTGTACAAAAGGAGTGCAGTACCTTAATGAAATCAAGGATTCGGTGGTTGCTGGATTCCAGTGGGCAACTAAAGAGGTAAAAGTTAAAATTTGAACTTATAATTGTTTTTTTATTCTCAATATTTTTCCATTATTAAAGAGTTATTATTCTTTGACAGGGAGTCTTGTCCGAAGAAAATATGAGAGCTGTACGCTTCAACATCTATGATGTAACTCTTCATTCAGATGCCATCCACAGAGGTGGTGGCCAAATCATTCCAACAACTAGACGATGCTTGTATGCCTGTATCTTGACTGCTCAACCACGACTTATGGAACCTGTGTACTTGTGTGAAATCCAATGCCCAGAGGTGGCTGTTGGTGGAATTTATGGTGTGTTGAACAGGAGGAGAGGTCATGTGTTTGAAGAAATGCAAGTTGCTGGTACTCCTATGTTTGTTGTTAAGGCATACCTGCCTGTAAATGAATCATTTGGTAAGTGAAGAAGACATCATATGGATTCATTAGTTCAAGCTTCTTTTTAAATATTTATATTCTTTTCTATAATTTATTCTTCTGTATAGGTTTCACTGCTGACCTCCGCAGCAACACTGGTGGCCAGGCATTCCCTCAGTGTGTGTTCGACCACTGGCAAGTCTTACCTGGTGACCCAACTGAAACTGGAAGCAAACCATTCGCGATTGTCCAGGTATGATTAATCCAGAATTCTTATAACTTGAAATTTCAAGATTTGTATGAGAGCTAATAAATATTTTTTGTGCAGGACACACGCAAGAGGAAAGGATTGAAAGAGGGTCTGCCAGATCTTGCACAGTATTTGGATAAATTGTAAAGAATGAGTTGTTAGGTGAGGTGTACAAACTATTTACAAAAAATATTCTGCTAATGTGCCATTGGGCAACATTTTTCTTTCAAAGGCTGTTTTTGAGGATATTATGGATTTACTTTTCCCACTATCGTGGTAAATGTGCACTGTGGTTTGCATCACCACTTTGTTATTTGCTTGTTGATGTTAATAAGATCTACACAACTAGCTTCTACCCCATGTGCAGAGGATTGTGTGCATGTAAATGGGTCCCAGAATAAAAGATGTGGAGGAAGTTATAAAGGACTTTGTATCAAGAAGCCCTGTACCTCTGCATCACCTCCTTCACATATTCCTAAAATGAGATTTTACTTTCAGAGGAAAAGGAATTGCAGGTAGATTAAATGAAACTGCAAATACTTATTGGTATAAAGTAAATGTATATTTCAATGCTGTAAATTCATATGAAAAAGATGTATGTGGTTGAGGAATGTTACTGTATTCCACTTCCAAATAAAACACTAATATATATGTAAAAACACCAGCACCAGTCTTCATTTTAAAAAGGCCTTAGGCCTTTTTCACAGGTTGGCCGGATTTATCCAATAAATGGACAAAATCTCCTTCCAGTTTTTGAGGACCATCTCCTACTTTTGTTAGGATGAGATACTGCAGCATGCCAGCACTGAGAGGTTGCATTTCAAGTTTTCCTGTCAAAGACTTAATAGAAATTTGTTAGTTCCAGTTTCTACAGGAGACACACAAGTAGGTAGATGTCCTTCACATTGCCAGACATTACATTAGCACTTCACTATGTCAGAGTTGGTGTGTAAATTAACTTAAAAGTGTAATGGGCAGTGCTACATCTCTATTTACATTTGTACTATCTCAGAACAGAATATACAGGTTAATCTTTCAACCCCTCTAAATTTAAAATATACCAGATTGGAAAAGATTTGCACAACCTTTAACTTCTTTCATGGTAAATAGTTTGGAATATTAAAACTTAACCATTTAAAGTCAGAATTTCAAAGGCCTAGTATGATTTGACATTTTTACTTGCTCCACATACATGGGAAATTGTTTTGTAATTGCAGCAAATAAATTTGTTTAACAAACCTTGTTTTGAAGCCCTAATACCAAGAATTATCTGAACACAAACTGTTTTCTTTTTCCAAATTGATACCGGTTGTGGTCTCGCAAAGCTCATAATTTTGAGTACATTAGTGTCTTATCAAAATTTTCAAGTGATCTTGATTTTCTTGTAAGAGTGAAATGCACTCATGTGATAGATTTGATTTTCAGTTAACTCTTAAAGGTAAAATTTTTTCCATAGTTTTTGGTAAGGTTGTGCACATTAAGACTCGTGCAATATTACAAATAAAAAAAAAAAGCAAGACTTGACTTTTTAAGTTTTGGTACAGAGTCCTAATGGACTTGTAAGGTGACATACCCTGCTCGCTGCTCCCCCCCCCCCCCCAAAAAAAATTTCACATTACTATTTACATTACAGAAAATTGTTCTTTTTGGAATTATGGGCACATGAGTTAGATGAGGTAAGATATTTTGAAACTCAAAATTTCACATTTTCAGAAACATGTCATTGTCTTCCAACTGCACTAAATTTCTTTAAATGGAATATTGCAAGTTTCCCCCCCCCCCTTCCAAGAAAAATGTAATTTTTTTAAATAGCCCACATGGTTAATATGCATGTTTTCAGCAATTTGCGTACATTGTATTTGTGAATGGAAATGTTGCAAATTACTTCTAATGAAGTTTTCTGTTAAGGAGGGCTCCAAAATTTTGCAATGTAAATTTTCATAAAGGAAAATATTTTACTGCTTTTTAATTATTGTAAAGTAATATTTAGATGCTATAATTATGAAACCAACAAGAAAAGTTTCTAAAAAACATTTTGCGGAGCCATAGATATCAGCCAGCAAGACTGAAAAAGTGGCCCAGGCAAAAACAATTGTAAAACTTAAGTAGTTTGAGAAAGTCTATGCTATTCTGTAGCACCAGCTACAATTGCAATATTAAGTATAATAGTAAATGTTCATATTTGGCAACATCAGGCACAATTGAGTCATCATCCTATTTCTGTGTCTCTGATAGTGCAGTGATTTTGTATGTACAATGAACCTGGATGAGCTATTTACCTCTTCTGGTACGTTTCTCTCAGTTTGTAAGCCACGAAGAACATTTATTTTCATGTCTTTTGCTGGAAATGCCCAATCAATGAGACCAACTACCTCTGGCACCTCAGATTCCAGCATGTACAGACATGCATTGGGTCCAGCATCAAATGTATAAGCCACCTGTAAGACAATCACTAGAAGTAGGATATCAGGGCAGAATCTGCTTATCCGTGAACTATGAAAGTTCGTCATTGCACTTATTAATTAATTTTTCCTAGGTCAACAGTATATTGTGCTAGTGCCCTTAAAATACTTACCTTTATTTGTCCATGTGCAGCATTAAATTTATGAATCAAGTTTACAATTGAATGGGATGTGTCATTCATATAAATTGCTGGAGGATATGTGTCAAGGGCTACAGCATGAAACTGATTGCTGTCTCTCATTGTTATTTCTGCAAATTGAGTGAAGTCTTTTTCCATTATAGCCTGCAGAATGGATAAATTAATTTAGGCAGATGCAGAATCATATGTGGATGTGAAATTTATAATATTTTTACCTTTTCCATTTTTTTTACTCTTCCTGGTACTACTTGATGAGCGCGATAGTTCAGCAACTCACTGGTTGCTACACTGTTCTGCATGCCAATTGTACTACTAGTCTTCTTTTTGTGATCGCTGACCTTTCAGCAAGTATGAATGCAACTTTAGCACTTCAGAATTTGAAAGACTTTCATTCACCTGGATAGCTGGTTAATTTTTATCACAAAGCTTACCACAAGAACAAGTATTCTTAATTCAGGCCAGTGAGAGGCAGGAGCTATTTGTGTTGCTACAGAATCAGACCCGCTTTCTTCGACTCCTTTATGCCAGCGGACAAATCCACCCAACATGCTGCGACATGCACTTCCTGAACCTTGTCGTGCAATAGCAGACATATCACCTGATACACCATATAACTGTGCAAGTGTAGCCACTGAAAGAAAAATAATGTGAAATGGTCGAAGTATTTGAAAAACAGTAAGTATTTTCAAAATTCAATTACCCAAACAAGCGTAGCCTGCAGCAGAGGAAGCAAGTCCTGCCGCTGTAGGAAAGTTATTTTCTGAGCAAATGTGAACATGCCAGGATTCTGGAATGACATTCGGTGTTTGATCTCTAGCAACACGCCGTACTGGAAATAACCCATCAAAATGTCAATGGCTGGTTTTCATGGTATATTATGTCATATAAGTAATCTGTCATTAACTTTGACAGAAGTAATGGTACTTACTTTGCAATAGGCAATTCTTCAAGCGTGGATTTTTTATGGATTCCTCCCTGAAAAAAAAACAAACAAACCTTAACTTGTTCTTCTCAATCTAGCTGATAATACTGAGAAATATTAACCCACCTGCCGTTCAGCCAAATTCTGTCTTCCGTAAATTCCGGACTAGCCATAACGGAAGTTTTGGCGCATAACTATAAATTAAGAAACAAGTTAATAATTGCTTAAAACTTTTTTTCATAGTTTTATTATTAAATGTCCTTACATCATGCGTGCATAGCGTTGTACTGATTGAATCATTCAAAGGCAGGATTAAGGTTTCGTTCCTCTTGCCCCCTGAACAGAAAAACGATATAAAATCCCTAGTTCGACGCAAAAAGACATTCACTTATTCACTCACAGTATTTGATGACAGCAATGTTGACGGGTGCAATGCAAGTAACCCTGGTCATGATTCTAGTTGGCGGCGACGTCTGCCGTGGAACAAGACAGGAACTTAAGTGTTAAGGCATTTGAAAGCGGCTTTATTTGGAACATTCACCCCCTCCACAATATCGCAGGTAACGTCTCTAGTTCTCTTTGACGTCAGGAAGCCAAAGCTGGGCCAAAGTGTGTGACATGTGTGTCGCACACGTTTTCTATTATAACTGTTAACAACATTGCCCTAACCTTACTTCTATCTGCTTTCAGGCCGTTGGTCGTGGTTGAATTTTTTCTTTATTCCTATGCTAAGTAAAACCCATATTTTAATTTTGTAGGCAGTATTGTAATGAATAATATGTGATTAATTATCTGGTTTGGATTTATTGCAAAATAGAAATGGAATTTATTCAAGAGTTTACTATCATTCAAGGGACACTCTTAACTCTTCAAAAGAAAGTAGGCCCATTAAAAAATCTAAAAGAGAACGATTCTGGTAAGTAGTAAGTATGTGAAATCCTAAAAGAATTTGGATTTCGTTTGCTCTTCGCTGTTGTAATGGAAATAATTTTTCAGGAACCAAAGAAAAGATTCATAGTGTAGTGAACACTCTACTGAAAGTTTTACATTCATTTGAAGCTACAAATGAAACAGAAGGCAGCGACAAATTGCGTAAAATCAGTCTCTTTCTGGTTCTTAATTCGGATTTAAAGGTCTGTGAAACTATGAAAGAAGATCCTAATTGGGGACACCTGATTGAATCCGCTCCAACTCTTAGCAATCAAATAATGATTGATGTGTTCACTGCACCGTCCTTAAGAGCATATTTACATGAATTAGTAGTTTATTGCCCACCTGCATTAAGTCTGGAGTTGCTTGACATAGCAGCTTCAAAACTAAAACAAGAACGTACAATAATGTCGCCCTCCTGTATAGCAACTTTTATAAAGGCTGTTTATGTTAAATTGTTAACTTCACAGAAACAAAGTACTGATCATATTTGTGAAGTAAATTGTTGTGCTGCGAAATTCATGTTATATTATTCCAAATTTCTTGAATTTTTATCAGATCCCAACAGAATTAACAGTCAATTAGAGAATTCACAATTTTTAGAAGAACTTGGTCAAATGTTAATATGTTCTTTAGAATTGGTTACATCATGTTTGATGTTATTCATTAATCCTCCACTGGCAAGTGAAGATGTGCTTAATATATATAAAATGGATCTTGCATTTGATTATGGAATATTGCATCAAGATTCAGATTACAGAATATTTGATGCAATGCATGAGCAGTTGCTTTCAGTTCTTGTTGTGCAAATTGCCTACATAACAGTGGATGTTTGGTTGGGTTGGGCCGAGTTTGACTTTAAATCTGTTCATAATTTCTCACTGCAAAAATACATTGCTGAATCAATGTACAAATGTCACAAAGTAATTGTAGTTGCAAAGGAGAAAGGTATGAAGTCTCAGTTGTGTGATGGCTTAATTACCATGCTGTCAAGTATGGCTTCAAAGCCTCGTGATGAAGATGATGAAATAAAAGAAGCTGATATGGCCCTTATTCTAAATCGAATTCCGGACCAATCTTTTTGCCGAAGAAAATGGTTGTTTGCTTTGTTTACCAAGTATGGTGATGAAATTGTCAAAGAAGAGTGTGTGGAATGCATTAACAGAAATATGGACTTGATGGATTCTGAAATAATTTTATTGTTTTTGGAGAAAATATATTTGCTTATTGAAAAGGGTGAAGTAGAAAATGTTCCAGAGAAAGTAAAGAGTGTTGTTCTTTGTGCTGTATACCAATTGAACCTTGATGAACAACTACTATTGTTGAAGGAATTCCTAGATAAATACGGCATGAATTCACATCTTTGTTGTGATGAATATAATACAAAAGTTACCAAAGTTTTCAATACTGCTGTTGATTCAGCAGAATTTTCACAAGATAATGTAAGTAAAAATAAACAGCAACAAAATATTGATAATAATTATTAATTTGTTTACTGTGTCATTGATTTAGTTGAACCGAGAGGATATTTTTTGTTAGAATTCAGAAAATAAGAAATTTGCATAAAAAAATATTTATAGTACATAATAAATATTGAATCTTTATGTGGCTATAAATTGAAATTTCATGCATATAAAATCAGGGAACTTGAAATTTCATAGCACTAATAAAATTTGGGTAGAATTTGAAGAAAAACTTTTAAAAACATCTTTAAAAATCACATTAAAATTTAGATGAAATTATCACTTTCTTTCCGTTTATTCTCCTCCATTAAATTGTATTCTGAGTCACAATCCTGAAGGAGATTTATATTCCTGTTAATAGTTGATTGTGATTAATAAATATCGGGGCAATGTTGCCGCAATTTACGATTTCCCAGCATTCTTGTCGGTCCCATCAGTTTTGTTTATTCATAATGTTATAATTCCCCGCATTTACGTTAGTGTAATTTCGACTTTCCCGCAATTTATAATGGTCTCCTTGCCACAACACCATCCGGAGAGGACTTCGCGTTGCGCAAAAAGGGCTCTGCCGTTGCACTTTGCCGCGTTAAATATTGCCATATCAGAAAGACTATTGAAATGGTGCAATATTATAAAGAGTTATGAAAGAAGAATTAAAGATTTGAAGATTTAAATAAAAATGAAAATCATTATTAAGCAGCTAGGCCTACACAAATTTTCATTTCACAATATTACAGAAGTATTTAAAAATGTATAAAAAATTATCAATGTGCATTGATAGAGAAGAATATAAGATCTGTGCCACACGAGCGTTGCGGTTAGTTGACGCGCGTCACCTCGTGCTGCTGATGCGACTCCGTCGATGCCTGCGCAGAGTCACTTAACGCGCGTGGAAGACTTCAACACTCTCTTTTGCGAAAGGACACACGAGCGCTTTTGGCGACGTGCGTTGTTGTCAGCGCTTGTCTAGTGGACATCACGCGTTGAAAGCTAGAAAACGCACGTTATCTTGACTTGAGTAGAATTGCTCGAGCGTATTGCTTCGGTTGTGAGCAGAAAGCACGTCGCCAAGAGCGCTCTTGTGCCTCTTCACATAAGATAATGTTTATCAACGACGAGCGTTATGTGACGTATGCATAGACACCGGCGTTAGGTGACGCGCGTCAATGCAGCGCTCACGTGTCCCAGGCCGAAGAGAGGTGGCCTCACTATTTATTTTATGTCATCGTCCTTCACAATTTAACACTTTCTCATTCTAAAATAAACGTATTTTCCCCCATTCTTTTATAGCACAAACATCAAAGTGTGGACTTCTCTCTACGTTTTTAGCTGTATATTGGTTTCATGAATCCTTTTTCTATAACTTCATAAATAAATAATTTTTTTTAAAAAAAGTTGGAAATCATTACGAATTTGCGAAAACAAATATTTTATGACTTTGGGAAAATGTTAACTTTGCATTGATTCTTTTGGTAGATATTCCACTTCTACCTTCATTCAACAATAGTGCAGTTTTGCATCGTCGAAGGCTTACAATCAGTGAATGGCAGGGACTCGGGGAAGTGTCATTGCGACATTTAAAATACACTGTGTTAATACACCTTCGATGTCCGATGATGTAAATTTTTATGAGATTTCTAATTGATCTTGTAATATTGTTCATTATCTAACACTGCGTTATATCTAATCCTCCTAACTATATTATAATCCTTTTGATTTTATGTATATGTTATGTATAATGTATATTTCTATTTTGATGTGAATTGAATTTTGACACGTATATATCTAACTGTTTAACTACTGTTTAATGGTCTTTTAAGTCATATTTAGTTCAAAGAATAATATGTTATGTCTCTTGTCTTGTTAGTGAATTTATCTAATTGTAACCCAGTTGCTTATTTGAAATTAGTTCTATGTGACAGTTATAACAGCAATAACTTAGGATGAATTAAGTAGAAAAATTAATTTTCAGATGTCCAGTAGTAAAAGAGCTTTCTTTTAGGGCACAGGCAGTGTGCTCAAGTTGAATTTTCAGCACTGCTGCTGAAAGTAGGATAAGTAGTGAGATGACTACAACTATGACTATGACTACAACAAAACAACAATATACTTTCGTCTGATCAGCTACAACTGAACTTAATGTGACATGATACCCAATTATGTGATTTATATACCTCAATTAAAACAAAAAGGAAAGTCAGTAAGACTGTCCAAAAACTAATGTGTGAAACACATGGTAAAAGTGATTGTGCTTGTTGGATTGCACCATTCTGCTTACCACTGTCTTGTCAGATCATTTTCTACTCACAAAATAAAATGTCACTTTTGCTACTTGTATCTTAAAGAACTATTGTCAGTAACTAAAAGCTTGTATCAATATTTCTGAAAGATAATTCAGAGAAGCCGCGTAATTTGTAATTTTTTAATTTTTTTTATTTTGTGAATAAAGAGTGAACATTTTTATGTAATTAATTCATGGCTAATTTTGTTAAATATTTCATTTGCTTCTACAGAAATGTATAGAGATAGTGAATTTATGTCTTCAAAATCCACTGGATGTGATGAAGAGACTACTTGAGCATTCTGTTGCTAGTGATAAACAAGCGCAAATAATGGGAGACATTTTAATCATGTTAAAACCATTACATTCTTTAAGTGTTAACAAAAATGGACAGGAGCCATGTAGCCTTCTTGTTTACTTACTACATGAGATTATGCAGAAAAGGAAAGTCATTGAGTTTTCAGATACAAGTTTTGTTTCAGTGGTGAGTATTAGAAGGAAGATTTGTAAGTTAGTTGTGCTAAGAAACGTGATTAATAGAATTTATCACAGATAACAGGCCTTGTCACGAGTTGTGCAGTATCACCAGATGCCTTTTTAAAGAATAATTTGTTTCCACTGATACACACCTGTTTAAAAGATTCAAATTGGTCAGATATTATACTGTGGCTTGAAACTCTTCAGGTAAGAGAAAATGAAATTTGTGCAAGAAAGAACAGGGAACGGGAAAGAAATGGAAAGAAAATATGTTGTTTATTTTGTTTATAGATTTTTGTAGGTGGTGCAGTGAAATGTGAACAAACCCTGGATACAACAGCTCTTTTGTTAACTATATCCCAAGTTATGGAGTTGAGTCGTAAAAATTTATATACATTTTCTTATGCTGCACTTACTGCTTGTGATCATGTAATGAACCTAATTAGCATAGTCTTGGAATCTTCTCTAGATGTTGAAGGTGTGATTTAAGTAATTAAATTTTATTGTTGAAAAATATTAAACTTTTGTTATAGTCTTTAGATCTTGAATTATGCTCACAGATACATCATTGGTACCTCTTTGTGAACATATTAAGAATATGATGAGTCCTATCAATCAGTTTTACTTTTTTGATCTTTGGAAAAAGAGTGGAAATTATTCCCATTTTACGGCTGATTGGAAAGTATATTTGCTCCACTGGATGTACATGGAGAAATGTAATATTCAGCCACCATGGGGAAGTAGTGTATCTTTACAACGAAAGAGGATTATTCTTGAATTATCACAGGTACTTGCTTCATGATTTTATAGTTTAATACATTATAATTTCTGTAGTACTACATTACTGAAATATTTTCAGCTACTTCCTGTGTGTGTAAAAAGTGAATGGCAAACAATCATTCAAAATTTACACAATTTAATGACTCCAATATTAGGTGAATCATCTAGTTCATTTGTATTTGAATGCTTGATTGATGCCATACAAATAATGTCAGTGTTGAGTTCTGCACCCTGCTTAACTGACAAAGAGCAAGAATGTGCATTTTCGTGTCTTGATTTTTGTATTAGGAATTTATCTTCTATTGCAAAGGTTCGTAAATACTATGCTTTTCTATTTACGAATGTTGATAGTGACATTCAAGAAATGCATCATTGATATTTATAGGAAGAACTTATTGGGAAACCAGAAACCCTTACAGCAAAAACTACCAGCATACTATTTCAAAAAATTGCCAATTTGAATTCTGTGCTGCCAGGAATTGTCAAGGATTCTTGTGGTGGCGTACTTTTGAACTTGCAAGTGGATTTCATATCAAAAGCAATTTGTGATATGCAAATGTACCCAGATGAGGAGGAAGAAGAGAAAGAAGTTAAAAAAACTCAATGGAATGAGGAATTACGGAACATGGCAATCAGTATTTCAACGATAAGTGAAATGAAAACGCGCCAGGCTTTGGCTCGTAAACTGCAAGAGGGTGTTAGTGTAGTGTAATGGATGTAAATAAAAGAGAAGAATTATTTGTTTTATTGATTTTGTTCATGTGTTATTTCCTGGCCTAGGTGTCAATCGTTTTAACAAAATTCCTCTAGAAAAGAGAAAATGATTTCACATTTGTAAAAGAATGCCTTTGTAATTCTTATTTATATTCTGTATTATGTTACTTATTCATGTCTTGTTTGTAGAGTTACTTTTCATTGTAATGTGCCTGAAAACATTAAACACAATTAAAAGGGTTACATTAAAATAATGAATAAAAATCTTGTTCCTGATGATGTGAAATTGCTTTTCCAAAAAGAAAAATATACAGAATTTGAAAAATTTTCTTATGTAAAATTGTACAAAGATTTTGTGTTGATATATTTTTTTAAATAAAATTAAGAGAAAAAAAGCCTGTCTTGTTCTTCAGTCTGTAATGTAATGATAGTAGTTTATGTTAAAGGTGAGTAAAAAATATTTAGTTCACAAGTAAATAATTGAGCATTTCAAGGCAATGTTAGAAGCTGAAGGGATTCATTTTCAGTGTTGAACAAAAGCTGTTTACTTTCAACTGGTAGGCTATACATTTTTTTGTTTATTATCATCATGAACAGGAAAACAAGAAAGCGAAAATGAATTATCTAGGTATAAGTATATGCTAAAATAAAACATTTATTTTAGTGTTTTAATAATGTTGAGGAATCAAACTAATTGACACATTTAAATAAATGTAAATTTTATTAACATTGAAATAAACTTCGGAGCAGTTAATATTTCTTTTCACCATTCCCTGCATTTATGATGCCAATAATAACTTGATATAATGAGTTACATAGCTGTAGTGTATAGTTAATACAATTGATTTAAATGAGTAATGTTCTGAAAGATCTGATCTTTGAAAAGTATCAATTTTCAGGTTTTGTAATTAGCATGTTTCCTGTATTTATTTGTTCCAAAACCCTATCTCTTATCTTTCTCTTGCAAAGGTTGAAACCAAGTCTATTCAAGTTATCCATGCCCTTTCCCCACCTGTCTTTTTGAATGATCTTCTTTTAACTTATGAATACAATAGTTTGTCATTGAATTTGTAACATGTTCATTCATATTCTTGTGATGTGTTGCTTTAGGAAAACGAGATAAACGTTTGTAGCACCATTGACAGCTTCATTGTCATTTATTTATTTCCTTTCTTTAAAGTAGGATATTTTAATATGGCCATGAACGTTTACTTTTATTCATGTTATTTTCAAAATTACAAAACCAATGTGTTATGTTTAAACTAAACTAATTGAAGTTTGAAATCTGATTAATGAAACTTATTTACAGAGTACAAGAATCTTCAAAACACCAAGAAGACCCAATGTAGAATTTTTCACTTGATATGTTATGTTCTTGAACTCTACTCTAAGATCAACCAATGTTCAAAAGAAAGCTATACAGAGTTTTAAAAACTTTTTTTGGTGAACATTCCCGTATACGTACGTAAATACGGAATAATAAACATGGTATAGGGAAAGTGATGTAATGCAACGGAAAATCGATTTCGAGATTTAAGCGCAAATATACGTTTTGGGGTTCCCTGATCGAAAGTGGTGTTTTTTTTTTCCAAAACATCCGTCCGTGTAATGTATGTGATTAACAGTAGCTCCTAAACCATGCGAAGGATATTTTCCAAATTGAAGAAACCCCTGTTCATTTTGCCTGAGTCGAAGCTCTGTGATTTTGAATATCATTCGTTAGTTTTTTGGGGATACTGTACATGAAGCCCCCCGGACATTTTCTAAATAATGGTTCCAATTTTTTCTTTAATTTTCTTATAAGAATAGAGTAAAATGCACTTTTACACGTAGCATAGGTTCTGTTTTCAAGATTAATTCTGAGTTTTCGAAAATTTTAAAAGTTCGGTATTTTTCGGGGTCTTCCTACAACAACATTACAGAGAGAGAGTTTTTCTTCAAATAAAATTTGTTATCCATAATTTGTTCTTTCATTAAAGTCCTGTAATTTTTTTTGAAAAATCAATAGTTTTTACACATAATTGGGTGTCATTTGTGCAATTTAAAAAAATTACAAATCAATATTTTCTCAAAAACGGCTTCAAATTTGTTACTTAAACTTTTGGTAGGGATTGTGCAAATGCACTCTATAAGATGCCATAAACACCATATTTCTCTATTTTGTTTTTTCAAAAATTACAATTTTTTTCATTTGTCTCTCACATCATTAATCTTTACATTAGCAGCAATTTGCTCACATATTTATGAGTACATATGCTTTAAATAATATCAGATAAAGCTTCTTGAAAAACTATCGTTTTCTGCCAAAACTAGATCAAAATTTCCCAATTTCAGAAATGCCATTTTCTCAAAAACGGCTCCAATTTTTTCCTTCAAACCTTTCAATCGGATATTGCTAATTGCACTATTTAGTATGCCGGAAAGTTCATTTCGGGATAATTTTTTGTTTTTTAAAAAATTACACATGTACTTTTTTAAATATCTCTCACATTTTTTAAAATAATGCACATTTACAGCAATTTGCAAACATTATTGTTTGTGCGTTAAGTACTTAAAATTACTTTAAATAAAGTTTTTCGGAAAAAAACTTTTCTGTTAAAGTGCTTCAAATTTCGAATATACTGTAGCGCTTAAGCGCAATTTTCCCAAAAACGTCTCCAATTTTTTTCAAAAATTGCCATTTAGGATGTGTGTTTACCCTTTGTATTCTTAAAATAATATTGCTGTTCTATTATTAGTAAACCAAAAAATTAAGACAATTAGAAAAAAAGAAATGGGCTGCGATAGATGGCAGCATAGTACGTGGCAAGTTCGAATAGCTAGCCGAGACTAAAGGAAATAAAAAAACTAATACGGGAAAGCCAATGCCATTCTGTGGCATCACTAGTTACTCTCGTGCAGAGTACTAGAATACAATCCGAATGGCCGGTAGGAAGTTTTATTTATTTAATTTTGGAAGTAGCAACAAGCTGATGTCTCATACCAATTGTCGACATAAGGCCCCTTCACACTTCGAATTTGTCGGGCGGTTGGTTAGTCCTGTCCACATGATCGCCGATTCCCCCACAGACAAATTGTGTACACTGCGATTTTTCTAGCTCTCCCCTCAAGGGCCTACTTCAAGGTGGCATCATGTCACTGTATTTCGCAGTGGCGTGCATTCAAACCCAGCGCTGCTGGGGTAAGTAAAAATGACACAATGATCTCATATATTACATATCTCATTCGCTGTTGCAAGAAATTAAATCTGAAATAGCGAATGCTAATTTTGTCTCTGGTGGTCGATGAAACAGCATGTTTCCAACACTGCTCAACACTCTATTGCGTTCCGATATGTTTGCGATGGTGACACAAAAGAACGTTTTATCGTATTTCGTGATATGTTTGCGATGGTGAAACAAAAGAACGTTTTATCGTATTTCGTGATGTAATTGCAAACCGAAGCGCAGCGCCCATAGCAGAGCTTATGATAGAGTATTTGACTGTAATAACAAACTTATAGCTCAGTCTTACGACAGCGCAGCTTCCATGTCTGGAAATGTGAACGGCGTCCAGGCCCTTATAAAACAGACTCATCCTCAAGCAGTTTATGTTCATTACTATGCTCATGTCTTCTATTTAGTACTTTCACGTAGGGCTAATAACATCAGAGAATATAAAATTTTCTTTAGTAATTTGAGTGGTATTGCTACCTTCTTGTCGCCGAAACGAGCAAAATTTCTTGACAATGTTTGCAAGAAGGTTGCCATCTGTTTGCCCAACTAGATGGAACTATACAGAGCGACTTGTGAACACTTTGTATGTGCACAGAAGTGATCTTCAGAAAGTATTCATTTCTGTGCTGAAAAAACAAGATGAAATTGAATGTGTTATATTGGATCCTGTTAGTGATTATTTGTCTATTTTGTCTGACTTTTTGTTTTGATTTTTGCTGAGAATGTATGATAAAATATTTTCATTCTCTGGAATATTGTTCAACATACTCGAAAGAAAGGCAGATGGCATCGGTTGCTGTAGACAAACAATTAACGAAACACGAAATATAGCTGAGATGTGAAGTGAGTATAATGTGGACAATCAGTTCGATATCAAGACTATAGAAATTTGCAGTTCTTGGAAATGATATTGGAAAGTATAATACATACAAGAAACCGTTTCCTCAGAAGGAATTTTCTTGCTTGCTTGCTTGAAACTTATGCGAGTAGTTTTGATGAAGTAAGATTGCGCAATAAACTTACTGTATTTTATTGCACCGAAGAGTTTCAAGAGAAAAGTCCATATGAACTGTTGAAATCTTTGAATTCTATATCGCTATTCTCATCCTTTCTACAACTTACGTGAGTTATCACTGATTTGTTCTATTCCTGTATCAACAGAATCGATAGAAAGATCGTTTTCAGCTCTGAAAAGATTACAAATCTATTCTCGAAACAGAATAAGAGAAAAGAGATTATCCAATTCAGTCTTACTTTATATTTAATCATCACTGCTGGAGGACATAAGACATATACATTCATTTTTCGAATAAACTATGTCGCATTTTGCTAATCGTGAAAGGAGAATGTATTTTATGTACTTGTTGTCTACAGCAACCTTTGCAGGAAGCAGACCTCATTTTCCTGCTCTGTAAGTTATGGCAATTTATTTCTTTTTCATGAAAATACAAATCGTATGTAAGAGTGATGTATTACAAAAAATTGGCGTAAGGTAATGATGTGTCGCGCAACAATAGGATAATATTAATAATTTGTAATTGATGGTTGATGCAGAATAGCACTCAATGTTGAGAAGTTTAGTTATTTTAACGAAACTTGTCTTTAAATTGAGGGAGGGGGAGGTCGGAGAAAGTAGGAATAGGGGGCCCCCAAATTAACGTAGGTCCAACCCCCTTGGAAGCCACTGCCAACGCGACGTGGGAAGGGGCCCTTAGGCCCCTACAGAACCCATCCCCTTCCACGGCGGGCGGAGGTGCGGCCGTGGCTGCGGCGGGGGCGGCGTCGGAAGGGCTCTGCTGCTTGAAGGAAGCGCGGCCCCGTGGCGACGTGGGAAGGCGCCCTAAGGGCCGCAGTACTCCAAATATGGGGGCCACATCACACTATTGAATCATCGGGCTTAAACATGTTCAGAAAATCTGCCCACGAGTTCAAGGTTCGTTCAAGGCAGTAGTGCCGTAGCGAACTCGGACCGAAGGATCGCGGGTTCGAGTCTCGCCTCGGGCATGGTTGTATTGTGTTTCGTCCTTTCACCCCCTATCATCATCATTATCGTGTCAACCAACAGTTACCATACCGTTACAAGCAATAGTGGTCGCTAATGACCTAGTAGTTGATGCGACCTTAAATAAAAAAATTAAAAAAAAAATAAATTAAAAGGTTATTTCAAGTCAATAGGAGGTTAAGGTACCTCTCATGCTAGTTTAACTATGCTCGATGTTTTTGTTCTTTTACCAGTCCGGTAACGATCCGGGGTTTCGTAATTTATCTAATTACTAAGTTTGGCCTTTCAACTTCTGCCTATCAACCAATTTTGCTTTACGTTCTTTCAACTCCTTCCTCTGTAAGAGACTGCTCATTTTCTGCTCTTGAGGTAACTTCCGCTTCATCTCAAAATACCTTTTGCAATATGTGCATTTTTCGTTTCATTTTGATTGGCCGGGGATTTTCGAGATATCCCTGCACGAAATTATCCAGACGTGTGATTTGCAAGATATGGTTGTGTATGTCAAATCCATCAAGCTCGAGGTTGAGCAGTGCGTCTCCTACTGT